CCGTGCGCAGGGAGCTGGGGCAGAGGGGAGGGGTCCTTGCAGGGGGTGCTCCAGCCCCAGGTCTCTGCCACCCCAATCCTGGCTCTTTTCTTTTCTTTTCCTTTCTTTCTTAGATTATTTATTTGAAAGCCAGAGTTACACAGAGGAGGGAGAGAGAGAGAGAGAGAGAGAGAGAGAGAGAGAGAGAGAGAGAGAGAGAGAGAGGGAGAGGGAGGTCTTCTATCTGCTGGTTCACTCCCCAGATGGCCACAATGGCTGGAGCTGTGCCGATCTGAAGCCAGGAGCCAGGAGCTTCCTCTGGGTCTCCCACGCGGATGCAGGGACCCAAGGACTTGGGCCATCTTATACTGCTTTCCCAGGCCATAGCAGAGAGCTGGATCGGAAGAGGAGCAGTTGGGACTTGAACCAGCATCCATATGGGAAGCCAGCACTGCAGGCGGCGGCTTTACCTGCTGTGCCACAGCACCGGCCCCTGGCCATCTCAGAGGGGTGCCGTGGTTTCTTCTCCTTAGCCCATCCTCCTTCCTCTTTCCCGGGCTTCTATCACTGTTCCAGCTGCCTGAAGCCATCACCAACCCTGGAGAGCCCACAGGAAGTACAAATCGCTCCGGAGTGTGAAACCAAGCTTTCCGCTCCCCTGTGTCACCGTGGGGAGGGAGCAGCCAGCAGCCGGAGGCAAACCCCCACAGTGCTGCCGGCCCGCGCCCCACCTGCCGGCCCGGCCCAGGCTCCTGTCCGGGGAGCCTCCTGAACGAAATGTTTTGTCTAAGGCTTTCTTTCTTTTTAGAAGTGACATGAGCATTGTCCTTGTTCACGTGGGGCCCATGTGATGTGCCAATCCGTGTGCTGCCCAAATCGGGGCAAACGCACCTGGCTCCTCCCACATTTAAGTTCGCTTCATTGTGAGCACACTCAAAGTCCTTCGGTTTTTTTCAGAGACATAAACAGTGCATTATCACCATCTAGAGTCAGTAGAACCTGACTCTGACGTGGTGTGCATGAACCATTCTGCTGTCCACTTCTATGGGGTCGCTGTTTTACATTCCATGGGTGAATGAGATCATGTGGGACTTGTCATATTTCGCATGACGTAATGACCTCCAGTTCCGTCTGTGTGGGCCCAAATGACAAGACAGCATCGCCTTCTGTGGCTGAAGAGGCTCTGTTGTGATTTGTGGCGCGTTGTCCAGGCCTCGGTGGGTGGACACAGGTTGTTTCCAGGTCTTGGGTGTTATGGATGGGCTGCGGGAATGTGGCTGTCTCCTGGTTCCCGCGCAGGGCTGTGGCTTGGTCCCTGGACTGTTCTGCACAATGGCTGTGCTCCGTTCTCAACAGCCTAGGTGGCCATTCCCATCATTCCTCATCCTTGCCAGCCCTTGTTGTCTTTGGCCATTTTATTTTATTTTATGTAAGTTGTACAAGTTTCATATTTCATATATACAGATTTAGGAACATAGTGGGACTCCTCCCCACTCCAGCCCCTCCTCCCCCTCCCTCTCGGATTCCCACTGCTAACCTTTAGCACGCTCTGTTTTCAGTACACTTAATGATCATGTAGTTAACCCTACATTAAGTAATAGCGCTCAACAAATAGTAGGAAGAAAAAACACAGAACAAAACACTGTTCCTCTATGAAGAGACAAAGGCTGTGAACAATCATGGAATCTCGGGAAGTCTGTTTCAGTCCAGTACATTACTTGTCAAGTACTCTGTTAGTTACAGTGGATTGGGAAAACACATCTGTCTTTGTGGGAATGGCTTATTTCACTAAGTATGATGGTTTCCATTTGCTACGAGCTTGTTGCGAAAGACAGGGTTTTATTTGTTTTTACGCCTGAACAGTATTCCATAGTGCGTATATGCCATAATTTCTTTATCCAGTCAACAGTTGGACATCTGGGTTGTTTACATATCTTAGCTATTGTGACTTGTGCTGCAGTTAAAATTGGGGGTACAGATAACTCTTTTGTATACTGATTCATTTTGGTTTGGGTAGATTCCCAGGAGTGGGATGGCTGGGTCATTTGGAGGTCTATATTCAGATTTCTCAGGTCTTCCACAGTGGTTGGACCAGTTCACATTCCCACCACCAGTGGGCCGGGGTACCTTTTCCCCGCGTTCTCGCCAGCGTTTGTCATTTGATGATTTCTGTACGCGAGCCATTCTCACTGGAGTGTGGTGACACCTTGTTGTGGTTTTGATTTGCATTTCTCTGATGGTTAGTGATGCTGAGCATTTTCACAAGTGTCTAGGCCATTTGAATTTCCTCTTATGAAAAATGCCCGTTTAAGTCCTTCGTTCATTTCTTTACTGGACTGTTTTGTTTTGTTGTTGAATTTCTTGAGCTCTTTA